TTAACACTCTTTTAATTTTGATCCCTATTTTCATCCTATTTGAGAATAACTTGACCTCTGTAAATTGTAATACAGCTTTTTTTTTTTTTATTATCTTCTATTAAATTAAACGTTTATTTATTTTTTTTTATTTTTATACATAAAGTTCCCAGATAATTCCCGGATAAAGATCTTCAAAACACTTGCCACGTATACTCTTTTTTAGTAAGATCTACTTGAGCAAATTAGGAAGAAAAATTCTTACGTTTTTTTATAATATGTTGCTATTTGATATTTGATATTTAATATTTAATATTTAATATTTACCATTTATTAATAATATTTACTATTTAATAATACCAGCCCACCCGTCCACCCTACGAATTCGCCTCCTATAAATACTTTTTTCAAGACTTCCCGTAACACTTCTACAAACATATATATGTATTACAAAAATATGTATTACAAACAAATCTAAATTCTTAATCCATTATTTCTTATTATTAAATTATATGCGTTTAATGCGTTTATTAAAAAATGAGTGCGCCAAAAGTAAATGTAAAAAAGATTATTATGATCTTCATAATAATATATTTTTTAGATAGATACGTTTTCTTTTGGCGACACTCGAATTAAAAGCGCTTATTCATATTTCGTCCATTTCTCAAAGAATACTATTTATTAAAAAATATTCATAATACAATGTAAATACATTTCTCTCTCTGCTACTATTTCTTAATACAACGACCTGCGCTGAATTCTAATTATTAAATTAAACTACTACGTATACAAATCCGCATCAAATATAAAAAAAAAATAGATATGCTACCACGGTTTTCTCCCTAACCCAACAAATAACCAAAACAGATTTTATAAGGATCCAACACAGGTTTCACCTTATTTACCGTAATAAAAAAAAAAATTTACTAAATCAAACCTTATTTCAAAGGTAATATTTTTTTAAACCTGTATTTAACTTAATTAATCCTGTAGTAACATGGATCAGGATTACGAGTAAACAATAATATCAAAAAAAATATATAACCATATGTTGTTTTCACATATCAGTACCGTGGATCAGGGCTACGAATAGACAAAAAAATCATTTTGCTTTTTTCAGACAATCACCTGGCTCCGTGTACCGTTGAAGATTTTTTACCTAATTCCATATTTTCGCGCGATTTTGTTTTTTTCTCGTACATCTTCAGTAAATTCTATAAAATTTAAAATATTTATCTTCAGTTTTTTGTTTTATCAACATGTTAATTAGTAACTTTTACCCTACCAGATCTTCGCTTTTCTGTAAAAATTGGCTAAGTTTGTTTTTGGGTACCTACAAGTTTTACAACACCGAACCGAATTTGCTTCGTTTATGTAAAAAGTACCTAATAATAAATTTCATATAAAATAAAAATAAAAAAAAACTCGAAGTTGAGCCATTATTAGACAAATGATAGTAAAAAATTTCATCTATCTATACCGTATTGTTATCATAATTTTATACTGTTTCGGATATTATCCAAATGCAACATGTCTACTTAAAAAAATTATTATTTCGTTTAATCCTGATTCGCAATGATAAGACACTAAAAACTTGTAAATTACCAGTACCCAAGAATGAATTAAAAAAAGATCAAAATATACTTATCTTGAAACAAGTTTACCCTTGTAATCTCCCCCAAAAAACGAATTAATTTTAATTTTTTTTTTCCAAAAGAAACAGAATTACTGATATCGACGCTTTATCATGAGTGCTAGCTTCCCAAAAGAAGAGCAATTACTAATATCATCAAATTTTATCTATAAATAACTTCCCAAAGAAACGAATTACTGATATCGACGATTTATTCTTTGAAAAAAATATATATATATATATATTAATTAATAGCACATAAAAAAAAAAAAGATTAAAAGATTAAACAAAAAAAAAAAGATTAGACGAAAAAAAAAAAAAAAAAGCAATCTTAAATCTTATAAAATAATCGCTTTTTCTTTCTCCTCGCCTCCAATTTATCTAAAAAAAAGTAAAATAAAACAATGCCTGCAAAGTTATCAACAATCTGTTATGTACATACATGTACTGATCGATTGACCCAAGAATTCACAGTAAAAGAAATTACCTGTATTGTAAGACTAAGTAACGATGACCCCACAAAAATCATGTACTTAAAAGTAAAAGCCTTCGTCCCCTTGAACGAAACCAGCAACCATTACATTGAATCCTTTGGACCTGGTGATGTTATATTTTTAAAAGGAAAATTCGTAGGAAGTGAAAATTTTTACATAGTATAATATATCTTTTTTTTTTTTTTTTTTTTTTTTTTCCTCCAGTAAATCAACCCTACTTTTTAAATCTTATACTAAGGTCACCGCAACTTCTATCAAAGTCATAAACTTTGAATTTGATGATATGCCTGTATTAGGCATAAACTCGGTCATCGTTGGTATCACCAACCAGACGGTCAAAAACATCGAAAATGACTTAATTCTTGAGTTCTACGTCGAGGAAAAAGTCGGAGACCGCGAACCACCTAGCTTCTGGGTTGAAGCTAGGCATAATATTAACAATAAATATCTCTCCAATAAAACAAACGCAATAAACCAAAATTCCCGTTCAACCACCGCAATCCTTATTGGTACCATTACCTACGAAATATCTACAGGAAAGCATGTAATCATCTTGGAAGACATTTCCTTAATCACCTCAAATCGCAATGATTCATCCGCCCAATCAATTACTCCGCCATGGCTATCCCAATCAAGTATCCCAGGCTATGCAAGAGCGAATCGTCAGCCACGGGGTGCCGCTCCGAAGACTCCAAAAAAAGGACGCAATACCTTGTCTAATATGGATCCAACGTTTGTCCCTCAAACCCTCTCCACAGCTTTAGAAACCAACCCCATTCCAAACATGTCTACTCAACAAACACCTCAAACACCTCAAACACCTCAAACTTCTCAAACTTCTCAAAATCCTGGAGACGAAGGCTCACAAAACTAAGTTTATAAAAATCAATTTTTTTTTTGCTATTTTTTGTTAATCTTTTTTTTTTCTTATTTTTTTTCATTTTTTTCATCAAATTATTATATTATCAATATAAAAAAAAAAAAAAAAACTACTATTACTTACAAATCCATATCTTTTACCCCCATTTACGTTCTACCATGAATAAAACATTCTTATACTTCATGTAATTGGCTTAAACTATTACAAAGAGTTTCGTGCCATCTAAACGTTATTACATTTTATACATACAGTATAGCCGACAAAGTTTTTGTTGCAAAAAAAATAACTACTGTAATCATTATCATAAAGCTCGCCGTATAATATAAAAAAATCTACAATTGAATACGTACCCAACATTCTATGATTTCACGGGCTCTAATAAAAATTTATATTTCAGTACATTACTTATTTACACTGCCACCCATATTTTTTTTTATTTAAAAATAAAAAATAAAAAACCGATTTACCGTCTCAAATCTCAATTTTTCTAGCTGCAGTCAATCATTCTTTTTCCATATATAGATACTCTTCCAACTTCGATCGTGGTTCTATATTTAGCTATTAATTATTACCTAACCATTACAATTACATATATAGAAATATAGAAAAAAAAATTTTAAGTATAGAAAATCAAATTTGCAACGCCAATTCCTAAAAAAACCAAATGCAAATAACCGCAATATTGATAGTTCCCAAAATAGCAACTATCTTTTATGAAATTCTCTTCGAAAACCTAAATAAACCAAACATGCAAAAAAGCCATCCGCTTTAAAATAAGAAACATATTTGCATTAATGAAAAAAATTATAAATTATTATCTATGACAAATTTTTAAAAAACGTATTTAATCCGTACTTTTTACCTTCGAAATTTATCAATTCAATTTCTGAATTAAATAAAACCAGATCACCAAAATCGTACTCAATCTAAACTTTTGCCTCAATTTATTTTTGTTCCATAACAAAAGTTCAAATATTTCTTTTCAATAAATAAGATCATCGAATTATTTAACAATGACGCACCAACTCCGTAATGTATACGTATTCGATGACGAATACGAATCATTAGTAGACCTATCTTCTCAACCCATATCACATTCTGAGTCTAACAATTCTGATAATCCTACCATTTCATCTTCATCCAACCCACTTAATAACGACCCTCAAACTCGTACATATTGGAGACCCTCAAATGAACTCCAAAATTTATATGATAGGTTCCAAAATAATATTTTAAAACAATGGCCCCGAATTGCTTGTGTATATTGCGGAACCCTTCTATATCCTGAAAAAGCATCATGGATAATTTACAATCCATCAATTACTTACCCTCTACAGCAACGCAAACCCGGTGTTTCCTTATCCTTTAACCCCAATGTTAATCTAATTACAGATCTTAGAGTACCTACCTGTAATTCTTGTAAAAAACCCGAAACAAGGTTTTCATTCCCTTATCTTTCTCCAATGCCAGTAGAAATTACTTCTGTTCCCTTACATATAAGAAAATGCTTGTCACCAGTATACCTCCATTGCTCTTTAGGTAGAATGCCAAATAGCAATCCCTATTCTGAATATAGATCTTTAACCGGAACCATGGGCTATTCGTGCAACTCCAGAGCTCTTGCATTATATTCTGGAACTTTAGGTGCTTTCTTAGAGCCAGAAAACAATAATAATTCAGTTAATAACTCGAACTATAATCAAGACTTGCAACGCGCTGCTAACTGGTTATCTGAAAATAATCCGTATCTTCGCCCATTCTCTAATCTCTTATTACAACAAAATCGAAATGGTCCCTTTCCAATAGCACAACACAGCCAAACTAATAACGAAATACCTCCCGTCAACTCTCATGAAATAATAGTACCTAACTATGATTTTCCAGACGAAATCCATAATGAAGATTTTCACTATACCAGATTAATGGCAGGCTTTGTCCAAGAAAGTGACACCTTACGATTACCAATTGCTACCCATGACCCAAACCTAGAACCCTTACTCTTTCCCGACCTATTTACTGACGGAAAAGGTCATTTTCACGATATCTCAAACCAATCTACATTAGAAAACGAAACTCGTGATGAAACTTATGGCAAATATATTAAATTACGCTTAACGAATATTGATTCAAGATGGAGACTTCATAACCACTGGCCCTCTTGGTCTTACCTTCAATTGGAAAAACTAAGACACCATCAAAACACACAACGAATACTCCGAAGTATCAACCCAAACCTCACTAACAATGAATGCCTCCCATCAGGCAGAGATCTACTTAATCCCAGCACTTACACTCCATATAACATAATTAATGAAAATATAACCATTCCTATTCCATCATTTATACGCACAGGAGATACTTATTTCTACCAAAAACAACTTCACTTAAACGCAATGATACGAAAATTTAATCTACCAACCTTATTTATCACCTTAAGTATGGCTGAAAGCCGTTGGTCGCACCTCCATACTATACTTGCTAACAGTGATAATCGTGACACATTACAAACCAATAGACCATATCACTGCGCAAATTATTTTGTTCACAGGTTTCAGTCATTAAAAAAAGAACTTTATAAAAAACCAAACCTTACAGGCTTTGGTGAAATTACCAATTTCTTCGACAGAGTTGAATTTCAAAACCGAGGCGCGGCTCATACCCATAGTTGCTATTGGACAGCTAATACTATTCAAGATATGATCCAAAATGATGTAATACGATCAACTATGCCAGATCCACTATATGAACCCGAACTCTATGCTGCAGTCGTAGCCAATCAAATACACACCTGCAACGAAAAATGCCGAAGACCAAACCTTATAACACAAACGTGTAAAAAAGGATTCCCCCGTCCTTATAGTGAATCAACCCACTATGAAGAAGGTAACTGTCGTTACATCTACAAATGTCTAACCGAAGCTGATACTTGGGTCGTCCCTTACCATGCTCCAACTCTCCTACTTTGGAATGCACACATGAACGCACAATACATAACAAACAAAGGATTTGCGCGATATATGGCAAAATATATTGCAAAAGCTGAACCCTCTCACCTTTTTAACGTTTATGAGAACAATTCGTTAAGAGAGCACGTCATTGCACGTAGACTTGGTTCAATGGAACTCATGTTCCTACTCTTAGGACATCAAATATGTAATTCCTCATCTACAGTAAAGTATCTCACTACTGATCCTCCACCCATTAGAACCCGCTCGATACTTCCAATTCATATGATAGATGAAAATGACGAAAATCCGTACTATGATGACACTATTATGAAATACATGCACCGTCCCCGCATCCCTGAGTTTGAAAACCTTACTTACTCACAATATTTCGAAAAATATTTCATTACCCCTTCTCGCCCCACAACAACACGTCGTATCATTCATCGTGATGAACTATTTAACTACGTTGTAGAACGTACGAAAGAAATAATAATCAGATATCACCAACTCAGAATCGATGATGGTGAACTATATTTTTACCAACAATTACTTTTAAACCACCCTGCAAGAAGTGAAACAGACTACAAATCCGACCCAAACCAAACTTACCGAGATAAATTTCTATCACTACATCCAACCTTTTTATCTGATCTACAAAACCAAACTGCAATTACACACCATTCACGACTAACTCACCTAAACAATCAATTCACTGAAATACTAGACAGACTCCTCCACTCACTAAGTCAACAACTATCTACGAATATTCATCAAATCATTCAATCCCAATTAGAAAATTTAAAAATTCTTCCTCATGTATTTCCACTCACTGCCACACTCGAGTTACCCCAAGACCAATATAATGCATTATCAACTATAACCACATATATGGACAAAGCTGACGGCACCAGATGGCCTTACTTCTTCATAACAGGACCAGCAGGAACTGGAAAATCATATATCATTCACTTAATAATAAAAATGCTCAACCAAAGAAGATCTAATTACCTATTACTTGCACCAACAGGTGTAGCAGCCCAAAATATAGGAGGAAGAACCATACATTCCGAACTTCAACTTACGTCTACCCAATCTGGATTTACCTCAAAAGCTTTTACAAACATGGAGCTTAAAACTCACTTACAACGAATCGACACACTAATTATCGAAGAAATCTCAATGGTCTCTGCCGAACTATTAGACTATATATCAAACCTATTCGCAAGACTACACAACAACGCTATCGCTTTCGGCGGAATTAACGTAATAGTCATCGGCGACCTTTTCCAACTTCCTCCTGTCTCTGGCCAACTAGTATTTCGCTCAGCTACTTGGTCGTTATTCTATCCCCTATTCTTAAAGACTCCTCAACGTCAAAATCATGACATCCAATTTTTTAATCTCCTAGAGGAAGTACGAATAGGTAGAATTTCCGCTGAAAGCTGGAACATACTACATCAACGTCATTCGCAATTTACATCACGCCCTGCAACAAACATACTTCTTCACACAACTCACATTGTGGGCTTCAAGGAAAATGCCCAGCGGATAAACAGAATGATTTGTAACTTACTCCCTGTCCACCCAAATAAATTCTTAATATCACAAGCAATCGACAATATAGACTACACATCCTTCACACCCCCCACACCCTGGAATACGACGTATACTAATCATATGTTTAAATTAAAAACAAACTTACCCCCATCCGTCCGCCTCCAACCAGGTGCCCGTGTCATGTATCTCAATAATTCATTAATTGATCATGGTATTTGTAATGGTACTGTAGGTATAATTACTGATGTAGATCCTGAAAACCAATCTGTTCGAATCGCATTCTCCATCAGAGGATCCATAATAGACATCGATATTTTCAAATACACACATTACTTCCAACTATATGGAAATAATTGTTACCGTACCCAATTCCCCATACAGAACTGCTTTGCGCTTACAGTTCATAAAACA